ACCCCACTCCCCTTTCAATATATATCTATTTTTCTGATCTTGTAGACTTTCTTTCAATTTGGTTTTATAAGATTCCCCCATCTCTCTGCTTCCTCTCTCTATGGCAACAAGCAGAGGCTTGGAGGGGAAAAAAAGATTGGCTGCAGAAGAAGAAAAGGAAGCAAAAAGTCACAAGGGACAGGGCATGATAAATCTGTAGCAGCTCTAGAAGTGAAACCAGAAGCCCCACAGAAAAAGTGGAGGGCAGTGAGGTGGAGTGGTTGGGGATCTCATCACTAGCTTTGAACACCAGCACTGTTTCCCAGCCCCTGCCGTGATTTTATACTCTTTGAACTATGCACTTATTAGTATTACTTTTTCTCATTCTGCCTTTTTCCCAGTTCAGAACTCAAAAGCAATTTGCAACAAATTAAAAAGCACGTTGTTAAAAATGCACAAGATACAAAAGTTAAAATGAGATTAAATGACCAAAAAAATTGAAACAAGATGAAAACATGCATCATTAAATGCACATACACACCTCAGCACAAAAATTAGCAAGATCTAGCGCATTGTTTAGGTGAGATGGGGCTTGTATAGTCGCACATCAAATGCTTGCTGGAATAGAAAAGTCTTTACTTGTTTGTGAAATAAAAGTAGGGAGGGTGCCGGTGTAACTTCTCTGGAAAGGGAGTTCTAGAGCCTGGGGGCAGTCATTGAGAAAGCCCTGTTTCTCCTGTGTTCCCACCAGAGATACCTGTGAGGGTGGTAGGAGACAGATAAGGGCCTCCCCAGCAGATCTCAAAGCACAGATTACTTCATAAGGGAGAACCTATGGAAGATGTATACTACCATGTGAGAGCCAGTTGTCATAACTCACTATCTGAATTATTCAGACACAGACTCAGATGTCCAGGACTTGATGATGGTGGTCTCTTTGAGTCCAAAGAGTTGGGGGCTGAGACAGAGGGGACCCTGCTCCCCAACAGGAGGTAGAAAATGCTAAAGACATGGTACCATCTTTTGCAGATTGGCAAAGAGATGAGACAATGCTGCTCCCAGAGGCTGTTAAATAGGAGAAGATGACTAATTAGGCTCCTGGTGTTTTGAGATAGCTGCCTATAATTCTCCCAGATGCGCCCCATTGTCATTGTTGCAACCATCTTATCTAGGTGACTGGCAGTACTCTTCAGCATTCATGTTTTCTTAACCTTGGACTAGCTATTTACTCCTTGCTGGCTTTGTGTATCAGGACAATTGACTTGCTGTAATGACTTCTGGACTAGCTGATGACCACCTTTTTACTTCTCCCTTCATCTTGTTTGAATAACCTGCTACTGATCTGGACGGGATTAACTACCCAATAGTTCTTGCACTCCAGTCACCTTCTTCCTGGACCATTTGCTGACTGGGGCATAGGACATCAGTATGGTATAGTGGTTTTAGTATTGGACTAGAACTTCAGGAAGCCAGGGTTCAAATCCCCATTCAGCCATGGAAATTCTCTAGTTGACCTTGACCAAATCACACTCTCTCAGCCTCAGAAGATAAATTGCCTATCCTAGCTCCAGGAAGACCAAAACTAAGTAGCTAAGCCAGTGGCAGCTAGTGGCTCTGGTATCTCTGGATGGCCGTGAATCCCTTCTGAGTTTTAGTATGAACTTTAATGGAACTGCTCAAGTCCCAAATCTATTTGGGGGATAAATTACAACAGAGTAGATATCTCCTTTAAGACATGTCTGAGAAGAGTACTGTATAAAGTTTGTTTACACCAAAACTTCAGAAAGCAAAGGTGTCACTATCTCAGCCACCCATTTGGATACTTTTGGATAATGGAGTATTTCAGATTTTGGAATTCCAGATAAGGGATACTCAACCTGTAATAGCATAAACTGAGGGAGGTAAGAAGTACTAGCTGAATTTCTTATTCTCAGCTAGATTGTGTGATCAGGACCTTACATCAGAAATTGCAGTTGCATAGCACTGTGTTCAATGCAAACATTGCTTAGAATACATTTTTGCATAGAGTCACATGCAGGTTGTATTGTGCAAGCCTGGTGCTGAATGGCAACATTGTGCAACTGAATGCATATCTGAATAAACAATGGCATTTGCAACCCCAAGCACAACCCACTGCACATCTGCATGCACATCAGCACTGCAGTCACAGCTCCACATCTGCAGCCTTGAACCAAAAGCAGCCATTCTGCATCAGACAAAAATGTCCAATATCTTCCATAGGAGCACTGAAACATGTATATGACACCAACAGGATTCCACCTGCTGTTGTCACTGCATTAGTTTATTTTATACACACACACACATACACACACACACACACTGTATATACTGTTGGTTACTGGTAACTTCCATGTTAGTGTGGCATTGAATCCACTCCAGTTTATAGCTTGATCTGTAAAAGAGCTATCCAACATTCTGGATCTATGGTTGCAGCCACACCGCATAAATAAAGCAATTTGTCACCACTTTAACAGCCATGACCCAATGCTATGCCATCCTGTGATTTATCATTAGGTGAGGAACCAGAGTTCTCTGACAGACCAGATTGAATACCTCACCAAACTACAAATCCCAGAATTCCATAGCATTGAATTATGGCAATTAATGTGGTGTCAAAGTGTATTAATTCTGCAGTGCAGGTGCATCCTAAGTTACAGATAGGAATCAGCACTTTGGATAGATCCTTTAAAACTGAGAGGAAATCCTGAAGTATGAATGCACTGTCCTACTGGTATTGACATTGGAAGCACCAGCGACCATTGTGAATTTACAAGTGTGTCCTCAAGATGTGGTTTGACCTATTGAGTCACTATGACATAAAAAAACCTCAACATATACACAAAGCACTCATAAGAGTTAGCCATCCAGCCTCTATTTAAAGACCTTCAAAGACTGAGAGTCCACCACCCTCCAAGGCAGTCCATTCCATTGTAGAACAGCTCTTCCAATAGATAAGTTCCTCCTAATATTTAAATGGAATTTCTTCTATTCTAATTTGAATACATTGGTTCATGTTATAGTCTCTAGAGCAGTAGAAAACAATCTTACTCCATCTTCTACATGGTATCCCTTCAGATATCTAAAAATAGTTATCATGTCACCTCTCAATCTTCTCCAAGCTAAACATATTTAGCTCCTTAAATAATTCCTCATAAGCCTTGGTTTCCAGAACTTTGATCACCTTGGTCACCCTTCTTTGGATGTCTCCTGGTTTGTCGATATCCTTTTTGAACTATAGTGTCCAGAACTGGACATAATATTCCAGATGAGGTCTGTAGAACTATGTATTTGCTTCATTCTGAACACTATACTCCTGTTGATGCAACCCAGAATTGGAAAGGGCCCTTGAGGTTCCTTCTATGATTCTAATAGGGTTGTGTCCTGGAGACTCTAACCATGAATGACAGGTTGTTTTATTAAAGTGTATGTTACCAAATAAAGAAAGCAGATTGAAAGAAAATCAACTCATTAGAGATGTGGATGGTCAAAAGGACCAACAAATGGGTCCGGGAACAGATCAAGCCTGAACTCTCCTGGGAAATCAGAATGATTAAATTGAGGTTGTCATACTTTGGACACACTATGAGAAGGAAAGGTTCATTAGAAAAGGCAATGATGCTAGGAAAAGTGGAAAGCAGCAGAAAGAGATGAAGACCACAAGTCAGATAGCTAGAATCAATCAAAAGGACCATGGGACTGAATCTGCAGAACCTGAGCAGAGAGCTAGAGGATAGGAGGTCTTGGAGATGTCTCATCCACAGGGCCACCATGAGTCAAGGTTGATTCAAAGGCAACTACCAAGGACAACCACATTACCATATAATTCCTTCATTATTTTAAAAGTACAGGGAGAGTGCAAGGCCTACAGTGATGTTTGGGGACTATGTAAGTGGATGAAAACATAATTGATTCATCCTTTCAAAGGCAGATGTGTGATCACCACAAAGTTTATAAATAGGTTGACAGCCACAGGAAATAGATATGTGTGTACACATTTGTTTCCTTGCAAGGCACCCCGGCCGCATTAAGGCCAAGGGAAATGTTCTTCTCCCTGATAAGATGCAGCCCAGCTGAGCAACACTGTTTTGCCAGCAGCATCACCTTCGTCACATCTGGACCAGGAAAGGAGGCGCATCTCTGTCAATAGATAATGGAAGAAGTGAAGCTGAGTGCTTCACTGTTCCTGCAAGCTGTTTCCCTGCATTGAAAAGCAATAAGCAATTTGGAAGAGAGGGAGAAGGAAAAAAGCACGAACCAACTCCAATAGACCTTCCAACTTTCCAGGGGTTTGAAAAGCTCCATTAAACATCTGGACCTCTCCAAGGTCAGGGTCTTAATGCACAAGCTTTCAGAGCCAGGTGATGTTTAAAGGAGACTCAATAACATTGGTTTTTAATGTTCAGAGAAAAAGCATCTCAACTTCCACCACTGGAGAATTTGGATGGAAAATCAGCTTCTGTCCAGTAATCACCTACTTGATCTTCTCCTCCCTCCCTACCTTAATGCAAGTCTATAAAGCATCCTTCTCTGACCCAGTGTGCTCTGGATGTTTGGGAATGCAATTTCCATGATGCAGAGGTGAGGAAAGTGCAGCCCACATGCTACATAAGTGCCTTCAAATGTTCCCTGGGAGAAGGTTTTCACACATTTGAGGTAAGAAGCTGTTTTAAAGAACTTTTTCCAACAGGAAATGACCTTAAAGTTGAAGTAGGTCTTTCTGGGGCTTAAAATGGCTTTTAAAAAGCAACAAATGTGGTAAAATTGTCCTAGGAGGCATGGGGAGGAAATCAATTTAGAGGACATCAGAGGTTGCCCACCAAGCCTCCAAAATGGGCACTCGTTTTTGTTGTGTGCCTTCAAGTCATTTCTGACTTATGGAGGCCCTAAAGGTAAACCTATCATGGAGTTTTCTTGGCAAGATTTGTTCAGAAGAGGTTTTCCATTGCCATCCACTAAGGCTGAGAGAGTGTGACTTGCCCAAGGTCACCTAGTGGGTTTGATGGCTGAGTTGGGAATTGAACCCTGGTCTCCAGAGTCATAGTCCTATACTCAAACTACTACGCCACACTGCCATGTTGGGAAGATGGGTACCAAAGCAGAGGCATCTGCCCCAGTTCTGCCAACTACCTCAATATTTAGGTACTGAGTGTTCTTCCAATAGTTGGGGATCTGTACAGGAAAGCATAAACAGTACTCTTCTCAGAAGTCTGAGTTTTAAAGGAGATATCCAGACTGTTGCATTTCATATCCCAAACAGATTTAGGATCTTGAGTTGTTCCATTAAAGTTCACACTAAACCCCAGAACGGATTCACTACCATCCGAGAAACAGGAGAGCCACCAGCTACCACTAGTTTTGGCTTTCCCAGGGCCAGAACAGACAATTTGCCATTGGCTTCCTGTGAGGCTGAGGACTTGTCCAAGGTTACCCAGGTCCAAAACACACTGCAGAAATAATCCAGTATAAGACCACTTTAACTGCCCTGGTTCAATACTAGAGGAGTTATGGGGATAGTAGTTTTGTCAGAGATTTAGCCTTCTCTGTCAGAGAGCTCTGGTGCCACAATAAACTATGGTTCCCAGGATTCCCTAGCACTGAGCCAGAGGAGTTCAAGCGGTCTCAAACTGGATTATTTCTGCAGTGTGTTTTGGACCCCAGTGGGTTTCCATAACCAAGCAGGGATTTGAACCCTGGTCTCCTGGAGCCCTAGTTGAAAACTCAAACTACTAGGCCACACTGGCTCTCAGAAAAATAATAGAGACTTTCTTAAAACATGGATTTAAGTCCCAAAATTTGGGTTAATGGGGTAGGAGAGGGAGGGAGAGGAGCAGAGACAGGCAGAAAGTTGGGAAAAGAGATGGATGGGACACTTAAGCAGGATTATGAGGCTGTTCCACAGATGAAGTTTCTCCCAATCCCCAGCCCTGCTCTCTAGATCTACACACTTCTTCTTCTTATTATTATTCTCTCTTTTTTCCCCCCACCAAGAATTACTTAACCACCACCTGAAACATTATTTATCTGGCAATAAAAAATGAGCAATAAAGAGCTGCCGTTTTAATGACAGCAACCCGGGTGAGTATGGCCTATTTTTAATTTTAATGTTGCATGTAACAAGCTGGAGTCGCTAGGTTCACCCCATCCATGTCAACTCTCTCTCTTGCTTGCTTGCTTTTTTTGGGAACAGCCGCAGCTATATGAGCGCAATGGGGCCATCAGGAGAGACAAGCGGAGGAGGAGGAGGAGGAAAAGAAGGAGACGTGTAGGGAAAGCTACTCCTTAGCAGCTAAGGAGGAGGATGGGAGGATGGAGACAGAAAGCGAGAGAGACTTTATGTAACTGTTCCAGAAAGCAATGTGCTCCAGACATAGAAGAGAATGCAATGGAAAGAGGACAAGGAAACTGAGGCTGAAGGTGCATCCAGACTGATTGAAAATTCCCAGGTTTTGTTCCTGTTCTTTCCAAATTTGTATGTTTCTTCAAGTCACCTGTCAGTTTATGGTGACCCCATTAATTTCATAGGGTTTTCTTAGGCAAGGGCTTTCTAAGAGAGTGTGACTTGCCCAAGGTTACCCAGTGGGTTTCATGCATGGCAGGGGGTTGGACTGGATGGCCTTTGTGGTCTCTTCCAACTCTCTAATTCTATGATTCTATGATTCTATGACCAAGCTAGGAATCGAACCCTGGCCTCCACGGTCCTTGTCCAATGTTCAAACCGCTATACCACGTTGGCTCCTAAAAGTAGTGTGTTTTCATTTGTTTTTGTTTTAAAACTGATGCAATTGCTTGTGTGGTAACATCCTAAGAGAGAAGGATCAGAACTTCCAGACTTGAATAAGTAAAGGAAAAGAGGGAGGGATTCCCAAGAGCAGGGAAGGGAGCTGAAAGCAGCCCAATGAGGACTGAAAATACATTGACTGGCCCCTGGGAAGAAAAGAGTCAAGAGCCAGTTGGCTGGCTGGAACACTACATTTTTGTTACAGGTTTAACTTGGATCTCGTCATTTCATTTCACTTTTCATTTTAGGCAGAGTGAGACAGTTGCCCCAGATGGCAAATGCTGGAGAAGAGCAACAGCAGGATCCATACCATCCCTTCTCTTTCCTTCTTGTAGCTTAAGGAAGGGCATTTAGGATTTTCAACCAGAGAGCTCTCCTGCTTCATCAAATTACAAATCCCAGGATTCCATAAGAAGTTGTCCTGGACAGTTAAACTAGAACCATAGTGCTATAATTGTATAGCATGAAAGGGCCCTTTTTTTGCAACTGCAGCTGCATGATTGATGAGGATGATGATGAAGATGATATGCTGATGATGACTGTTTTTATTCATAATAATAAAAACTCCTTTGAGCGGATAACTACTATCATCATTAATAAGCAGAAGCATGCATATCTTTGTTGTTATTTACCATCAAATGGGCTTCAGTATATGGTGACAATAGCTATGAGAGGCCCCATGAGTTCTGGTTATCAACAGACTTGCTCAGGTCTTGCAACCTCAGATTTGTCTTCTATGATTGAATAAATCCATCTTTCATGCAGTCTTCTTCTTTATCTCCAGCCTTTAGTTTCCACATCACTATTAATGCATTATTAATTGCAGACTCTTTGGGGAAGGAACTTTTAAATGCTACTTTCTAAGAGATCATGTCCCAGGGAATAGGATGAAGCCATCATGAAGAAGCTAAGCCATTCAGATGCTGATCAGTGCCTGGATGGGAAACCACCTTGAAGTCCCATACATACTGCCTTAATTTTTATGACAGAAGGAAAATAGGGTATGAATAGAATAAATAATTTAAAATAACATGCTATTCCAACTCGTGGCAATGTTTTAATAAGCATTCTTCATCATCTTCATTATCCTTGCCCTTTGCTAATGCTCTTCTCTTTGAATTTCATTCTTACAGGCAATTGAGCTATTCTGGGGCAAAACATTGACCCAATCCCAGTTCTAATGAGACACCAGACCTAACACAGACATCCAACAGTCCCTTCTGTGCCATCATTTATCCCGCAGAATTTGATCTGAATTGATTCTTAAGTAAAGTGCTTTCCGAATTTAGCCCTGGTAACGCAATGCTTTGCTGTTTCTTATTATCTCTTTTGGTACTTTGCAAGCATCCCTGTCAGGAATGATGTGCCAGAGATGGAAAGCTGTACAATTTAATGCCTTTATCTTCCTTGGCCCAATTTTATTTTTTTTTCATTACTTTGTTTCCAAGGTGAGTGTATAAGCCGGCAAGGCAAGACTGTTTTATTCCAATAAAAATCTTTAAACACTCTCCTGTGTTTTAGAGAGGTGAACACACTTTGTTCCTGAGCAGTTCACTGAAGGCTGTTAGTCATGAATTGGAACTTGGGGAAGTTACTTTTTTTTTTGGACTCTAACTCCCCGATTTCCCTGAAGGATGCTGCAAGTAGAACTCCAGGGCCAGGATCCATAAGACAAACAAAATTACACCATTGTAACAAGGTTGGAGTTAATTGGTTTTGCATTGTTTGCATAACAGATTCTGCAGATGATACAATTCTCCACCAAATATATTGACAATGGGATATATTTGCATATAAGGCTTGCACAGCCCTGAACAGGATCTCACCCTTTCACAACCACTAACAAACTTCAGCCACTTGCTTTATAGCATTTGTGGCTTTATATTGGCATAAAATCCTACCATGAGACCCAGCATGGCTTAATGGTCTGAGCATTGGACCAGGGCACTGGGAGACCAGGGTTCAAATCTTTGTTCAGCCATGGAAACCTACTGGAAGACTTTAGGCAAGTCCTGACTGGATATCAAATCTGGTCTGATGTTGCTTGGCCACACATGTCCCGGTTTTCATCTGTCAAATGTTGGAAGGTGTGCCTTTTGAGTCATTAGAGCTGCGGAAGATGGGTATTGCTCACGCTTCGGTATATAAGGCAAAAATAAGCAAACACATTGGGAGAAATGCATTCTGGTGCGCAACATTGGTATTCAGAAGAAGGAAGGTGTAGCATCTAAGCACTGCATAATTACTTGAATGTACATTTACATCCCGTAAAGCATGGTGTTATGTTTTCTTCCTTACTTTCTTAATGCCACCCCAGGCACAATGATCCGACATCACATTTTGTGGTTTCTTTTGTTTTTACTTGAAACAGTTTGTGTAACTTCAAAGTTGGCTTTGATCATTTGGATGAAGGAACTGCACTCTTTACGCACACAGAGGCAACTCCATCTGTTCTTTCCCATGTCCTGCCTGTGAGCTCTGGGCTGAAAAACCAAAAAGAAAAGGCAAGTTGGCAACCAAGCCCACCTTCCATTTCTGTTCCAGAAGCTCATCATACGCCTCCTCTTCTCCCCAGCCCCCAGCCGGCTTTTCGTCCTGCTGCCCAGCCCAGTTTCCCAAAGAGAAACATGGCTCATCCATCCCACCCTCTCCGGTAATCTTAGTATAAAAATAGCCCAGTCGATGAAAAGTGATTGGACTCTCCAGTCCTGCCGATAAACTCGCCAGACTCATTTGCCTTGCTTTTTATTAGCCAGACTTCGTGCTAAATAGCTTACAGATCGGAGAATAAATCTATTCAGAGTGTAAGGATTTTCTGACAGGAAGATGGATACGGAGAACTCGGCCTCCTCCGCAGCCTGAATAGAGACAGGCACAGAAGGTCTGCCTTGTGGAAGCAAAGCCTGGGTTCCTCCCATTCAGCAGGCCTGGATCGTGGACTGGGATAGATCAGAGAATCATAGAGTTGGAAGAGACACCAAGGGTCATCCAGTCCACCCCCGACATGCAGGAACAAACAATCAAATCACACACACACACTCCACACACACACATTAAATTATCAGTGTAATTGTGTAAAAAGCAAGGCTAGGCACGACCAGGGATTCATAAAGAATTGCAACAGACAACCTCCTCTGCAGACAATTATTTCTGTATTTAGAAGGACTGCATGCACCAGCAACACCCACCATAGAAATAGAGCTTATTTTCCACTAGGGATGGAAAGACTATTCATAACAGTTCATTCCTAGGTTTAAAAAACAAAACAAAACAGGTTTCTGGCAGTTAGGCAATTCCATCATAGAGACTAATAGACCAGCAAAATTTTTACACACTTTTCTCCTTCTATTCAAATGTCTCAAAGTTTTGTGTAGAAATTATTCTGCAGCGGGAGGGAAACACAAAGGTTTCGTGCACAGAAAAAAGTTTCCTGAAAATTTCATTGAGTTGTGCAGAATTCTTACTTGAAGGTGAATTTCGTCCTGGTAGCAATACCCCTGTAAATGTGGACAAAGGCTGCTTCCACAATCCCATTGAATCCAGTGGTACACTGAAGCTAATGCACAGCATCCAAATAAGTGCAACTGTGTGTAAACTGATACACTCAGAATTCTGCTTAGGCAATCATGAATGGAATATGTCCATTGTGCAAAAAGGAAAATGCAACCACATCCCTGGGCCAGATGGAAAGACACCAACAAGACTGCAACTGGAACTATCAGGGAATATCAACAGATGCTTTTGCACCTGTTGGTCCTTCTACCGGTGAAAACTGCTGACTTACCTACTCACTTCTATGCCCATGTAATGCCATCTCAGCCACGCTCAAAGGAAAACTCTCCTGGATGAGACCAAAGGTGAACCTAGACCAGACCTTTTTGGACTGTAGCTCTCCAATTCTCTGGTTAGCAAAGCTGATTCTGGAGATTCTAGGAGCATGAGCCTTTGGTTTCAATAGGTCTGC